TAGCCCATAACTTTTGAAATTTTTACCCGATTTAAAAGTGGAATACCTCTCTGAATTTGTTATTAAAATATCTATCTAGCTGCATTATTGGTTTATTTTCGAATTTTTGGTCAATATTTTGTAGTTTTTTATGACCCCCGACCTGTTAAAATTTGCAAAAAAATGGGTTTGCAGAAAAGTGACCAGATCCCAGCACTGCTTATCCCAAACCTTTTGAAATTTTTACCCGATTTAAAAGTGGAATACCTCTCTGAATTTGCTATTAAAATATCTATCTAGCTGCATTATTGGTTTATTTTCGAATTTTTGGTCAATATTTTTTAATTTTTTATGACCCCCGACCTGTCAAAATTTGCAAAAAATGGGTTTGCAGAAAAGTGACCAGATCCCAGCACTGCTTAGCCCAAACTTTTGAAATTTTTACCCGATTTAAAAAGTGGAATACCTCTCTGAATTTGTTGTTAAAATATCTATCTAGCTGCATTATTGGTTTATTTTCGAATTTTTGGTCAATATTTTGTAATTTTTTATGACCCCCGACCTGTCAAAATTTGCAAAAAATGGGTTTGCAGAAAAGTGACCAGATCCCAGCACTGCTTAGCCCAAACTTTTGAAATTTTTACCCGATTTAAAAGTGGAATACCTCTCTGAATTTGTTATTAAAATATCTATCTAGCTGCATTATTGGTTTATTTTCGAATTTTTGGTCAATATTTTGTAATTTTTTATGACCCCCGACCTGTCAAAATTTGCAAAAAAATGGGTTTGCAGAAAAGTGACCAGATCCCAGCACTGCTTAGCCCATAACTTTTGAAATTTTTACCCGATTTAAAAGTGGAATGCCTCTCTGAATTTGTTATTAAAATATCTATCTAGCTACATCATTGGTTTATTTTCGAATTTTTGGTCAATATTTTGTAATTTTTTATGACCCCCGACCTGTCAAAATTTGCAAAAAATGGGTTTGCAGAAAAGTGACCAGATCCCAGCACTGCTTAGCCCAAACTTTTGAAATTTTTACCCGATTTAAAAGTGGAATACCTCTCTGAATTTGTTATTAAAATATCTATCTAGCTGCATTATTGGTTTATTTTCGAATTTTTGGTCAATATTTTGTAATTTTTTATGACCCCCGACCTGTCAAAATTTGCAAAAAATGGGTTTGCAGAAAAGTGACCAGATCCCAGCACTGCTTAGCCCATAACTTTTGAAATTTTTACCCGATTTAAAAGTGGAATACCTCTCTGAATTTGTTATTAAAATATCTATCTAGCTGCATTATTGGTTTATTTTCGAATTTTTGGTCAATATTTTGTAATTTTTTATGACCCCCGACCTGTCAAAATTTGCAAAAAATGGGTTTGCAGAAAAGTGACCAGATCCCAGCACTGCTTAGCCCATAACTTTTGAAATTTTTACCCGATTTAAAAGTGGAATACCTCTCTGAATTTGTTATTCGAATATCTATCTAGCTGCATTATTGGTTTATTTTCGAATTTTTGGTCAATATTTTGTAATTTTTTATGACCCCCGACCTGTCAAAATTTGCAAAAAATGGGTTTGCAGAAAAGTGACCAGATCCCAGCACTGCTTAGCCCATAACTTTTGAAATTTTTACCCGATTTAAAAGTGGAATACCTCTCTGAATTTGTTGTTAAAATATCTATCTAGCTGCATTATTGGTTTATTTTCGAATTTTTGGTCAATATTTTGTAATTTTTTATGACCCCCGACCTGTCAAAATTTGCAAAAAAATGGGTTTGCAGAAAAGTGACCAGATCCCAGCACTGCTTAGCCCATAACTTTTGAAATTTTTACCCGATTTAAAAAGTGGAATACCTCTCTGAATTTGTTATTAAAATATCTATCTAGCTGCATTATTGGTTTATTTTCGAATTTTTGGTCAATATTTTGTAATTTTTTATGACCCCCGACCTGTCAAAATTTGCAAAAAATGGGTTTGCAGAAAAGTGACCAGATCCCAGCACTGCTTAGCCCATAACTTTTGAAATTTTTACCCGATTTAAAAGTGGAATACCTCTCTGAATTTGTTATTAAAATATCTATCTAGCTGCATTATTGGTTTATTTTCGAATTTTTGGTCAATATTTTGTAGTTTTTTATGACCCCCGACTTGTTAAAATTTGCAAAAAATGGGTTTGCAGAAAAGTGACCAGATCCCAGCACTGCTTAGCCCAAACTTTTGAAATTTTTACCCGATTTAAAAGTGGAATACCTCTCTGAATTTGTTATTAAAATATCTATCTAGCTGCATTATTGGTTTATTTTCGAATTTTTGGTCAATATTTTGTAATTTTTTATGACCCCCGACCTGTCAAAATTTGCAAAAAATGGGTTTGCAGAAAAGTGACCAGATCCCAGCACTGCTTAGCCCATAACTTTTGAAATTTTTACCCGATTTAAAAGTGGAATACCTCTCTGAATTTGTTGTTAAAATATCTATCTAGCTGCATTATTGGTTTATTTTCGAATTTTTGGTCAATATTTTGTAATTTTTTATGACCCCCGACCTGTCAAAATTTGCAAAAAAATGGGTTTGCAGAAAAGTGACCAGATCCCAGCACTGCTTAGCCCATAACTTTTGAAATTTTTACCCGATTTAAAAGTGGAATACCTCTCTGAATTTGTTATTAAAATATCTATCTAGCTGCATCATTGGTTTATTTTCGAATTTTTGGTCAATATTTTGTAATTTTTTATGACCCCCCGACCTGTCAAAATTTGCAAAAAATGGGTTTGCAGAAAAGTGACCAGATCCCAGCACTGCTTAGCCCAAACTTTTTGAAATTTTTACCCGATTTAAAAGTGGAATACCTCTCTGAATTTGTTATTAAAATATCTATCTAGCTGCATTATTGGTTTATTTTCGAATTTTTGGTCAATATTTTGTAATTTTTTATGACCCCCGACCTGTCAAAATTTGCAAAAAATGGGTTTGCAGAAAAGTGACCAGATCCCAGCACTGCTTAGCCCATAACTTTTGAAATTTTTACCCGATTTAAAAGTGGAATACCTCTCTGAATTTGTTGTTAAAATATCTATCTAGCTGCATTATTGGTTTATTTTCGAATTTTTGGTCAATATTTTGTAATTTTTTATGACCCCCGACCTGTCAAAATTTGCAAAAAAATGGGTTTGCAGAAAAGTGACCAGATCCCAGCACTGCTTAGCCCATAACTTTTGAAATTTTTACCCGATTTAAAAGTGGAATACCTCTCTGAATTTGTTATTAAAATATCTATCTAGCTACATTATTGGTTTATTTTCGAATTTTTGGTCAATGTTTTGTCATTTTTTATGACCCCCGACCTGTCAAAATTTGCAAAAAATGGGTTTGCAGAAAAGTGACCAGATCCCAGCACTGCTTAGCCCAAACTTTTGAAATTTTTACCCGATTTAAAAGTGGAATACCTCTCTGAATTTGTTGTTAAAATATCTATCTAGCTGCATTATTGGTTTATTTTCGAATTTTTGGTCAATATTTTGTAATTTTTTATGACCCCCGACCTGTCAAAATTTGCAAAAAAATGGGTTTGCAGAAAAGTGACCAGATCCCAGCACTGCTTAGCCCATAACTTTTGAAATTTTTACCCGATTTAAAAGTGGAATACCTCTCTGAATTTGTTATTAAAATATCTATCTAGCTGCATTATTGGTTTATTTTCGAATTTTTGGTCAATATTTTGTAATTTTTTATGACCCCCGACCTGTCAAAATTTGCAAAAAATGGGTTTGCAGAAAAGTGACCAGATCCCAGCACTGCTTAGCCCATAACTTTTGAAATTTTTACCCGATTTAAAAGTGGAATACCTCTCTGAATTTGTTATTAAAATATCTATCTAGCTGCATTATTGGTTTATTTTCGAATTTTTGGTCAATATTTTGTAATTTTTTATGACCCCCGACCTGTCAAAATTTGCAAAAAATGGGTTTGCAGAAAAGTGACCAGATCCCAGCACTGCTTAGCCCAAACTTTTGAAATTTTTACCCGATTTAAAAGTGGAATACCTCTCTGAATTTGTTATTAAAATATCTATCTAGCTGCATTATTGGTTTATTTTCGAATTTTTGGTCAATATTTTGTAATTTTTTATGACCCCCGACCTGTCAAAATTTGCAAAAAATGGGTTTGCAGAAAAAGTGACCAGATCCCAGCACTGCTTAGCCCATAACTTTTGAAATTTTTACCCGATTTAAAAGTGGAATACCTCTCTGAATTTGTTGTTAAAATATCTATCTAGCTGCATTATTGGTTTATTTTCGAATTTTTGGTCAATATTTTGTAATTTTTATGACCCCCGACCGTCAAAATTTGCAAAAATGGGTTTGAAAAGTGACAAGTCCTTTCCCAAATTTTAAATTTTTTCCCATTTAAAGGCTGAAGCCAGTTTTTCGTTTTTTTTTTTTTTTGAATTGTTAAAATAAGTCTTATTGAATTGAATTTGAAGTTTACTGTAAGTTAGTTTAGGGCGAAGGCGGGAGCGCAATAAAGCTTTTGTTCGCTCTCTGCGAGTTCGCTCCGTCTTCGCCAACCTTCGGTAAGCTAGGCTTAAGTATGATTGTGGAGAATAGAGCATTCGTTGAAATTGAGTTTGATCGAGCGCACGCATTTCTTTTTCGTTTGTCGTTTTGCCAAAATAAATTTATTAATTAGCCACCCAAGTTTCGGTTTTTAATAATTAGAAAAACGCTTCTAATTTTTCATGGCGCCCCCGGGTGGACTAATTAATTAAATTAAAAGGCAACAAATTTTATTTAAAGTGACAGTGACACATATTCAAAAGTGCAAGTGATTTTTCTTGTGTTTTTTTGGTGATACATACATATACATATACACCAAATTGCACAAAATCCAATTTTGCTTGTGATATACACAGTTGCCCGCGACGTGTGTTCAAAAGAAAAACATTTAAGCTCCAGCTATTAATTAATCGTGCCGGTCGCGAAATTAAATACCCTAATCCGACCTTTCTGCCACCGACGAGGGATGCCCTGCGATTGTTCAAGTTGCAAAAGGAAAGTGGCAGCAGGATTGAAAGATCCAAACGAAGAACCAAAGGTATTTGTGCAAAAAATTGAAAGCTGAGTTTTGACAAAAAACTAGAAATATTCGTTAATTGTCTAGTGCTGAAAAATTGCACCTCGCTTTCAATTCTTGGCACATATGTACAAAATAGTAGAGCTAGATTGCATGCAAATTAAAATTTAAACAATTTAAATAATATCAAAAAGTAGCAAAATATTACAGCCATTATATATATATAAATACCTAATATATTTACAAGTGCTAAATTGATGTATACTATTTGAACCAATTTGGATGCAACTTTTGTTAAATTGTGTTAAATTATTGCAATCACTGTCGCCCCCCTTGTTTTTAATTATCGTTAAAACCTCGCAAGTTAATAGTTGGGAAGTTAATCTGAGCCGTTATACACAAATAAATAAGCCCTTATATACAAGCAGCTGCAGCGGTAAACTTTTTTCGTTTTCGCTTTCGCTTGGTCGCCGCTAGCAGCGTTGTTGTTGTTGTTGGGTTCTTGTCATTTGGGCGCGCTACAGGTTAACGGACCGTCAAGTGACGCGCTACCCCGCATTCGGTTGGGTATATTGTTTTTCGCCGTCGTTTGCACCCACTATTAATTTTGATACTTCGTGCCTCGATATTCAATTTAAAAATTATTTTCGTTGTTTCTCGCCTCTAAATAATTATTTAATAATAATAATTATTTAATAATTTTTTTTTCGAACAAATTTAATATTTTATAAATTATTATTTTTTTGTGGTTTAATTCGAAAATTAATTTCATTTAAATTTTTCAACACTTGGTCCTTTAATAATTTACTTTAATAAATTTGGTTTTTGATAATTTAATTCAAAAATGAGCCAAGAAAAGCCAAAAAGTAACCTGCTTGAAGACTTGAAAGCCAAGTTACAAAATCGAGTAAAAAGCATTCGCCGATTAAGTGATCGACTCGATTCTGGCGCGATCGCGATTAAAGAAGAAGAATTAAAATGTAGATTAGATACGTTAAACGCTGCAATTAATAAGGCAAATCTATTGCAAGAAGAGATAGAAGATATAGATGATGGCGATGAATTTAGAGATGAGTTGGAGGAGCTATCAATTGTTACCAAGGCAAAATTAATGTCGCTTTTGTCGGCCTTGAAGACAGCAAGCGATCCAAAAATTTCCGGATCAGCTTCTGTAGCCCCAACTCGAGCTCGACTTCCGAATTTGGCCTTGCCAAAGTTCAGCGGCAAATATTCGGAGTTTAAAAATTTCATCAGCCTTTTTGAAACTCTCGTTCATCAAGACGACAGCATTCCAGTTATCGAGAAATTTAACCACCTAATTTCGTGTCTCTCCGGTGAAGCCTTAGGGACTATTAAGGCTTATCAAGTCACCGCGAGCAATTATGAGAAGGCTATGGCCAGCCTTAAAAAAAGTCTACGATAACGAATGCTTGATTTTTATGAATAATATCTCAACATTGTTCACTCTTCCAAAAATTACGCACCAATCAGCGTCTTCCTTAAGAAGCCTTATCGATACCGTTTCATCAATTTATGGATCGTTGTTATCGATAGGAGATGATACAAAAATATCCAATGCAATGTTGATTTATCTCGTCTTGAACAGAGTAGACCCAGTGACTAAACAAAAATGGGAAGAACAGCTCGATTATGAAACTTTGCCGCTTTGGTCCGATTGTGAGAAGATGTTGAATCGCCGATATCAGCATTTATCTGCTGAGGAAACATCAAAACCAAAGCAAGATAAATTAATTCCGAGCAAACATAATCGAAGCTCGTTTTCGTGTTCTTCGACCAACACTAAGTCCGTGCAAAGTTGTAGCTATTGCAATGCTGGAGACCATGTCCTAGCGAACTGCAGTCCGTTTGGTCGGCTGTCAGTAATGCAAAGGTTCGATTTTGTTAAATCTGCGTCTTTGTGCATAAATTGTCTGCGAAAGGGTCATACGGTTTCCAAATGCAAGAGTAGTAAATGTCGAGTTTGTGGTCGCTCGCATCACGTTTTACTGCACAGGTATACCGTCTCCGAGAATAGTTTAGCGTTGCCACCACCCCAAGAGAGTCTGTCTCCCTCTAAAAGTCAGGATCAGCCTTCCACGTCACATGTTATGCATGCGACATCATTGGACAGGGTGATTTTGGCCACGTCGATCGTAAGTGTCCGCACGAAAAGCGGTGAATACATTTTGGCTCGAGCCCTTCTTGACTCTGGGTCTCAAGCCAATTTCGTTACAGAAGACCTTGCTCGCCGCTTACAGATCCGTAAAGAGGAATCGTGTATCAACTTACTTGGTATTGGCGAATCCAATTCTCAAGTTAAGAAAAAGGTACACACAGTGGTGAAGTCGCGAATAAATGGTAGTGAATTTTCGTTCGATTTTTGGATTTTGAAATCGATATCCGGATATCATCCGGACCAGTCTGTGAATATCAGTGACTGGAAAATTCCAAAGAACGTACCATTAGCAGACCCCTATTTCTACAAGCCACAAAGAATAGATATGTTGATAGGAGCAGAATCATTTTTCGAGCTTTTAGCTGTTGGTCAAATTAAGCAAGGTCCTGACTATCCAACTCTTCAAAAGACCCTACTTGGATGGGTTGTTTCAGGCAGATACAAGGCGTCTGCCCCAAGAGATGTTGTGAATAGTTTCAGTTGTAGTGAAGAGCTATTAGTATCGATTGATAGCACACTACAAAAGTTTTGGTCACTGGAAGAAATGCCATCTATAAAGAAAATTCTATCACCTGAGCATAAGTTGTGTGAAGAACACTATAGAAAGACCACTCAGGTTTTGCCATCAGGTCGGTTTGAAGTTAGATTGCCGTTTAAATCTGATCCCACTGGATTGGGCAACTCATTCGAGGTTGCAAAAAGGAGATTTCTGTCGCTCGAAAGAAGGTTGTCGCGAGATCCTGAATTAAAGAAAATGTATCTCGAATTCATGGAAGAATACCTCGCGTTAGGTCATATGTCTCCTACAGACAATAGAGTTCCTTTGACTCCACATTATGTTATTCCGCATCAGTGTGTCCTTAGGCCCCAGAGTACGTCTACTAAGTTGCGTGTCGTGTTTGACGCCTCTTGCAAAACGTCATCTCAGGTGTCCCTAAATGATATCTTGATGGTAGGCCCAACTATCCAAGATGAGTTATACTCCACACTGCTCCGCTTCCGGCTGCACAGGTTTGCTCTGACAGCCGATGTTAAAAAAATGTATCGTCAAGTAATGGTAAATGAAGCGGATAGGCCATTTCAACTCATAGTGTGGAGAAGAGACCCCTCAGAATCCTTGAGATTATACCAGCTCAACACCGTAACATATGGAACTGGTCCAGCTCCATATCTAGCGATTCGGTGTTTAAAAAGGTTGAGTGAATCTGCCAAACTTTCATTCCCTAGAGCTGCTGAAGTGATTGGATCCGACTTTTACGTCGATGATATGCTAACTGGTGCTGCATGCGTCGAGGAGCTCAGATCTATTAGGTCTGAAGTGTCTCAGGTTCTTCAAACCGCCGGGTTTGAATTGACAAAGTGGTTTTCGAACTCACCTGAGGTCACCGCATCTGAGAGCACAGTTAAATCCATACCGATCTCGGATTCAGAGTCGACGAAGGCGTTAGGCATATCGTGGTTGCCTAACGAAGATTCTTTCAAGTTTGAAATTGACAATTCCGTCATGGGTCTCAGAGCGACAAAGCGGAACATACTATCGGTGACATCGAAGCTGTTCGACCCCCTCGGCTTGCTTAGTCCTATCGTAATCAGAGGAAAAATCCTATTGCAGGAACTCTGGCTGAACAAGTTGGATTGGGATGAGTCGATTCCTGTGCATTTGGAAACTGCGTGGAATAAGTTGAAAAATACATTGTCTCGTTTGGAAGAGATAACAATTCCGCGGTATGTGCACACCGATCCGATGTCACCGGTTCAATTGCATGCCTTTGCCGACGCATCCATGAGAGCTTATGGAGCTTGCGTCTATATTCGTAGCAAAACTGCAGAAGGTATTAAACTGTCATTACTGACGTCAAAATCTAAAGTAGCGCCGCTCAAGACTAAAACGCTCCCAAGGCTTGAGTTATGTGCCGCTCACCTTCTCGCAGATCTCTGTCACAGAATCAAACCCCTATTAAAGGTCCCTATCGAACGGATAGTATATTGGTCAGACTCGGAAGTTACGTTGCATTGGATTCGATCCCATCCGTCTTCTTTGTCGATATTCGTCTCGAATAGGGTAGCGGAGATTCAGGAGTGGTCAGGAGAAGCTACGTGGCGGCATGTCCCAACTAACCAGAACCCAGCAGATATTGTATCAAGAGGTTGTGACATAGAGGAAATTAGCGATTCAATCTGGTTTACTGGACCATCCTTTTTGAAGAATGGAGAAGAGACCTGGCCCAAAAATTCACATTTCGTTCTTGATGAAAAGGTCCTAATTGAAGAATCAAGGAAGACTGTGGTAACGATGGCTGCCACGGTACGGAAGTCGGAACTGGTAGATGTCATCGAGGGATTTTCGTCACACCTCAAGCTGCTTAGAGTGTTCGGTTACATGTTCTGCTTTATAAGGAAATGCAGAGACAGGAGTATAGTTTTTGAAAAAACTCTGTCTCCGAATGAGTACAACGAAGCCTTCTTAAAAATTGTCGAGACCATCCAGAAACACGAGTATCACGAAGTTCTTGAAAAAGTTCGGAAGAACTCCAGAGTTGGCCCAAGTCTTCAACGATTGAACCCATTCATTCATGAAGACTCAGGCACTTGGTGTAATTTTTCGTTGTTGCGAGTTGGGGGGCGATTAGCAAATGCTCCTATAACGTACGATGCCAAGTTTCCCCTGCTGTTGACAAAATGCTCCCAATTTGTGCAGAGCTATGTCCGGCATTTGCATCTAACCAATTTTCATGTCGGGCCACGAGCACTTGTGAGTCTCCTTCGACAGCGTATTTGGATCGTAAACGCTCAGGAGGTCTGCAGTCAAATAGTTCGATCATGTATTCGCTGCTTTAAATGCAAGCCTCGACTAATGACGCAAATTATGGGAAATTTACCCGCAGATCGTCTCCGTGCTCTCCGCCCATTTAGTATCTGTGGCGTTGATTTTTGTGGCCCCGTCTATACGACATTGAAAATTCGTGGAAGGCCTCCTTATAAGTCCTACATAGCGCTTTTTGTGTGTTTTGCGTCCAAAGCGGTTCATTTAGAAATTGTGTCAGACTTAACCACTAACTCCTTCTTATTGGCTTTCCAAAGGTTCGTTGGGCGCCGAGGATGCCCTCGCACAGTCCACTGCGACAACGCGACGAACTTCGTCGGAGCGAGTCGCCACTTCCAGGGCCTTCGGGAGCGCATAGAGAAGGAGGCAGACGCCATTCGAGAATTCGCGTCAAGAAGCGGATGCGAGTTTGCATTCACACCGCCTCGGGCTCCGCACATGGGCGGGCTTTGGGAGGCAGGTGTGAAAACTGCAAAGCACCTACTCCTACGAGCGGTGGGCAGCGCGCTCCTAACCGCAGAAGAGCTGGAGACGGTGCTCGTCGGGATCGAGGCGGCGATGAACTCCCGGCCGCTAGGCGCGCTATCCAACGATCCCAGCGACGGAGAAGCGCTAACACCAGGGCACCTGCTGACAGGCGGGCCGCTATTCCCCATCCCAGCACTCCGGACCCCGGACCAGGCGGGTCTCAGTTGCTTGCGGCGATGGCAACTTGTCTCGTCAGCCAGGCAAATGTTCTGGCGGCGATGGTCCCTGGATTATGTGCTGGGCCTGCAAATTCGGGGCAAGTGGCACCAGGAGCAGCCCAACATCCAGGAAGGACAACTGGTCGTCGTCGCCGAGGACAACCTGCCGCCTCAACAATGGCTGATAGGGAGGATCATCGCCACTCACGCAGGAGAGGACGGCATGGTCAGGGTCGTCGAAGTGAGGACCAGCGGAGGAGGGATTTTTAAGCGGGCCATCCATAAATTGGCGCCGCTTCCAATATGTTGAAGCCGGACGGGCCTTCAACGGGGCCGGTGTTGGCTGAAGCCAGTTTTTCGTTTTCTTTTATTTTTTGAATTGTTAAAATAAGTCTTATTGAATTGAATTTGAAGTTTACTGTAAGTTAGTTTAGGGCGAAGGCGGGAGCGCAATAAAGCTTTCGTTCGCTCTCTGCGAGTTCGCTCCGTCTTCGCCAACCTTCGGTAAGCTAGGCTTAAGTATGATTGTGGAGAATAGAGCATTCGTTGAAATTGAGTATTATCGAGCGCACGCATTTCTTTTCGTTTGTCGTTTTGCCAAAATAAATTTATTAATTAGCCACCCAAGTTTCGGTTTTTTAATAATTAGAAAAACGCTTCTAATTTTTCAAGTGGAATACCCCTCTGAATTTGTTGTTAAAATATCTATCTAGCTGCATTATTGGTTTATTTTCGAATTTTTGGTCAATATTTTGTAATTTTTTATGACCCCCGACCTGTCAAAATTTGCAAAAAAATGGGTTTGCAGAAAAGTGACCAGATCCCAGCACTGCTTAGCCCATAACTTTTGAAATTTTTACCCGATTTAAAAGTGGAATGCCTCTCTGAATTTGTTATTAAAATATCTATCTAGCTACATTATTGGTTTATTTTCGAATTTTTGGTCAATATTTTGTAGTTTTTTATGACCCCCGACCTGTCAAAATTTGCAAAAAATGGGTTTGCAGAAAAGTGACAAGATCCCAGCACTGCTTAGCCCAAACTTTTGAAATTTTTACCCGATTTAAAAGTGGAATACTTCTCTGAATTTGTTGTTAACATATCTATCTATCTGCATTATTGGTTTATTTTCGAATTTTTGGTCAATATTTTGTAATTTTTTATGACCCCCGACCTGTCAAAATTTGCACAAAAATGGGTTTACAGAAAAGTGACCAGATCCCAGCACTGCTTAGCCCATAACATGTGAAATTTTTACCCGATTTTAAAGTGGAATACCTCTCTGAATTTGTTATTCGAATATCTATCTAGCTGCATTATTGGTTTATTTTCGAATTTTTGGTCAATATTTTGTAATTTTTTATGACCCCCGACCTGTCAAAATTTGCAAAAAATGGGTTTGCAGAAAAGTGACCAGAACCCAGCACTGCTTAGCCCATAACTTTTGAAATTTTTACCCGATTTAAAAGTGGAATACCTCTCTGAATTTGTTATTCGAATATCTATCTAGCTGCATTATTGGTTTATTTTCGAATTTTTGGTCAATATTTTGTAATTTTTTATGACCCCCGACCTGTCAAAATTTGCAAAAAATGGGTTTGCAGAAAAGTGACCAGAACCCAGCACTGCTTAGCCCATAACTTTTGAAATTTTTACCCGATTTAAAAGTGGAATACCTCTCTGAATTTGTTGTTAAAATATCTATCTAGCTGCATTATTGGTTTATTTTCGAATTTTTGGTCAATATTTTGTAATTTTTTATGACCCCCGACCTGTCAAGATTTGCAAAAAATGGGTTTGCAGAAAAGTGACCAGATCCCAGCACTGCTTAGCCCATAACTTTTGAAATTTTTACCCGATTTAAAAGTGGAATGCCTCTCTGAATTTGTTATTAAAATATCTATCTAGCTGCATTATTGGTTTATTTTCGAATTTTTGGTCAATATTTTGTAATTTTTTATGACCCCCGACCTGACAAAATTTGCAAAAAATGGGTTTGCAGAAAAGTGACAAGATCCCAGCACTGCTTAGCCCAAACTTTTGAAATTTTTACCCGATTTAAAAGTGGAATACCTCTCTGAATTTGTTGTTAAAATATCTATCTAGCTGCATTATTGGTTTATTTTCGAATTTTTGGTCAATATTTTGTAATTTTTTATGACCCCCGACCTGTCAAAATTTGCAAAAAAAATGGGTTTGCAGAAAAGTGACCAGATCCCAGCACTGCTTATCCCATAGCTTTTGAAATTTTTACCCGATTTAAAAGTGGAATGCCTCTCTGAATTTGTTATTAAAATATCTATCTAGCTACATCATTGGTTTATTTTCGAATTTTTGGTCAATGTTTCGTCATTTTTTATGACCCCCGACCTGTCAAAATTTGCAAAAAATGGGTTTGCAGAAAAGTGACCAGATCCCAGCACTGCTTAGCCCAAACTTTTGAAATTTTTACCCGATTTAAAAGTGGAATACCTCTCTGAATTTGTTGTTAAAATATCTATCTAGCTGCATTATTGGTTTATTTTCGAATTTTTGGTCAATATTTTGTAATTTTTTATGACCCCACCTGTCAAAATTTGCAAAAAAATGGGTTTGCAGAAAAGTGACCAGATCCCAGCACTGCTTATCCCAAAACTTTTGAAATTTTTACCCGATTTAAAAGTGGAATGCCTCTCTGAATTTGTTATTAAAATATCTATCTAGCTACATCATTGGTTTATTTTCGAATTTTTGGTCAATGTTTCGTCATTTTTTATGACCCCCGACCTGTCAAAATTTGCAAAAAATGGGTTTGCAGAAAAGTGACCAGATCCCAGCACTGCTTAGCCCAAACTTTTGAAATTTTTACCCGATTTAAAAGTGGAATACCTCTCTGAATTTGTTATTCGAATATCTATCTAGCTGCATTATTGGTTTATTTTCGAATTTTTGGTCAATATTTTGTAATTTTTTATGACCCCCGACCTGTCAAAATTTGCAAAAAATGGGTTTGCAGAAAAGTGACCAGAACCCAGCACTGCTTAGCCCATAACTTTTGAAATTTTTACCCGATTTAAAAGTGGAATACCTCTCTGAATTTGTTATTAAAATATCTATCTAGCTGCATTATTGGTTTATTTTCGAATTTTTGGTCAATATTTTGTAGTTTTTTATGACCCCCGACTTGTTAAAATTTGCAAAAAATGGGTTTGCAGAAAAGTGACCAGATCCCAGCACTGTTTATCCCAAACCTTTTGAAATTTTTAACCGATTTAAAAGTGGAATACCTCTCTGAATTTGCTATTAAAATATCTATCTAGCTGCATTATTGGTTTATTTTCGAATTTTTGGTCAATATTTTGTAATTTTTTATGACCCCCGACCTGTCAAAATTTGCAAAAAATGGGTTTGCAGAAAAGTGACCAGATCCCAGCGCTGCTTAGCCCATAACTTTTGAAATTTTTACCCGATTTAAAAGTGGAATACCTCTCTGAATTTGTTGTTAAAATGTCTATCTAGCTGCATTATTGGTTTATTTTCGAATTTTTGGTCAATATTTTGTAATTTTTTATGACCCCCGACCTGTAAAAATTTGCAAAAAATGAGTTTGCAGAAAAGTGACCAGAACCCAGCACTGCTTAGCCCATAACTTTTGAAATTTTTACCCGATTTAAAAGTGGAATACCTCTCTGAATTTGTTGTTAAAATGTCTATCTAGCTGCATTATTGGTTTATTTTCGAATTTTTGGTCAATATTTTGTAATTTTTTATGACCCCCGACCTGTAAAAATTTGCAAAAAATGAGTTTGCAGAAAAGTGACCAGAACCCAGCACTGCTTAGCCCATAACTTTTGAAATTTTTACCCGATTTAAAAGTGGAATACCTCTCTGAATTTGTTATTAAAATATCTATCTAGCTGCATTATTGGTTTATTTTCGAATTTTTGGTCAATATTTTGTAATTTTTTATGACCCCCGACTTGTTAAAATTTGCAAAAAATGGGTTTGCAGAAAAGTGACCAGATCCCAGCACTGCTTATCCCAAACCTTTTGAAATTTTTACCCGATTTAAAAGTGGAATACCTCTCTGAATTTGCTATTAAAATATCTATCTAGCTGCATTATTGGTTTATTTTGGAATTTTTGGTCAATATTTTTTAATTTTTTATGACCCCCGACCTGTCAAAATTTGCAAAAAATGGGTTTGCAGAAAAGTGACCAGATCCCAGCACTGCTTAGCCCATAACTTTTGAAATTTTTACCCGATTAAAAAGTGGAATACCTCTCTGAATTTGTTGTTAAAATATCTATCTAGCTGCATTATTGGTTTATTTTCGAATTTTTGGTCAATATTTTGTAATTTTTTATGACCCCCGACCTGTCAAAATTTGCAAAAAAATGGGTTTGCAGAAAAGTGACCAGATCCCAGCACTGCTTATCCCATAACTTTTGAAATTTTTACCCGATTTAAAAGTGGAATGCCTCTCTGAATTTGTTGTTAAAATATCTATCTAGCTGCATTATTGGTTTATTTTCGAATTTTTGGTCAATATTTTGTAGTTTTTTATGACCCCCGACTTGTTAAATTTTCCAAAAAATGGGTTTGCAGAAAAGTGACCAGATCCCAGCTCTGGTTATCCCAAACCTTTTGAAATTTTTACCCGATTTAAAAGTGGAATACCTCTCTGAATTTGCTATTAAAATATCTATCTAGCTGCATTATTGGTTTATTTTCGAATTTTTGGTCAATATTTTTTAATGTTTTATGACCCCCGACCTGTCAAAATTTGCAAAAAATGGGTTTGCAGAAAAGTGACCAGATCCCAGCACTGCTTAGCCCAAACTTTTGAAATTTTTACCCGATTTAAAAGTGGAATACCTCTCTGAATTTGTTATTCGAATATCTATCTAGCTGCATTATTGGTTTATTTTCGAATTTTTGGTCAATATTTTGTAGTTTTTTATGACCCCCGGGTTTGCAGAAAAGTGACCAGATCCCAGCACTGCTTATCCCATAACTTTTGAAATTTTTACCCGATTTAAAAGTGGAATAC